CCGCTACCCACTGCAGAAGAAGAACCCTTCCTCCATATATATAAGCCTCCCCGCCTGCGTGGAAATGACAGGAATAGCCACGGAACGCACCCGAGTGTCATGCTAAATATATTGCTCAGGACTGGTTTTCTTCTTTTCTAGCCACGAGGCCGAAGTCTTCTTCAGGGAGAGACCCTGAGGAACACCGACTCTCTTCCGTCTATTGAAAAAGGTTACCATAGACGAATTGTTGACTGAGTTTATAAAATGAAGGGAGGATAAAGGGATATACCGCAAAATCTGTCTGATGAGCGACTTATTGGCAATCGCATCATGCTAGCAGGGGAAAACACATATTACAGTTGCATTTTAGATTTTCCTGTAATTACAATAATGTAGACTAACACCTTTGAAGATGTTACTAGTATCAAGCATGGATAAAACATCAATTTAGTAATTCTGCTATTTCATCGTCACTATATTACAGATAGTTCAGCTTGCTGATAATTCAAGTTTTTATGACAATGAAAATGGAAAATAAAAGACACATTTGATCGACTACTACAGCCATAGAAACTAAACAAAGCTCTAAACAATTCACAGAAAATAAACTTGAAGATGATACCGACGAATGAAACTAAAAGCAAATTCTTTAAAATATTTACGTCACTGTATTTACTTGGCTGCGTAAATATGGGCATGTATCTATTTCTCGAAAGGACTGAACAATAACCAAGGCATGCGCACAAAAAGCACGGGAGGGCATACCTCGCCCCACCCTCGCCCAGAAGCGGGGGGAGGCGTCGTCATGGGTCCGCGAAGGGTTGCCACGTTCATGCTAATTGCATCAATATCTGGATGAATTCCATTCAGCTGCTGCGATCTGTAAAACCAAATCAATGCTTGATTAGAATCTACAATCCCAAATATCACTGTTACTATATTTATCAAATATCCGAATAGATAAATATGATGCGACTTTAGCGATCCCTACCAAAGGTCACGTACACAGTCCCACCCACGAGCTTCTAGCCCCCCCCGCACGCGCCAAAACCCACCCTCAGACCCACCCCACCCGCCGGCCCTTGCCGCACTCGCTCCCCTCTCTCACTTTTAGATAAACGTTGCCAAACCTCTGATTTACTAAAACAATCTTTCGTTTGATTCCGAAATGTTATGTGCATCGACATATTCATTAAACAAATCATTGAACAACGAAAAGTTAATTCAGATTTCTCCCTCGAAAATCGTCTTCTTATGTCACGACATATTGTAACCATGTTGGTGATGAGGAAACCCCAAATACCTCTCAACTGCTCGAACGGGCGTCGCAGCGGCCAAATGCTATGAGGAAAGCAACGTCTGACCATGCTTGTGCTCGATTTTTTCAAATTGCTCAAACCGATTTTTCAGTTTCCCAACGCAGCTTGGTCGGTTACGAATGAGCCGGGAAATAAACCGAATGTAATTGTAAACATGTGCAGAACACTAAAATTCTGATAATGAAAACATGTCTGTATTGATAATGACGATAATTCTTATTTCAACCCTTGATATTATTATCAGAAATGTTATCACTTTAATTTTTTATACAGTCATCATTCTATCTATCTTCATCGAAGTTCATCCATTTAATTGACAAGTACAGCAATCATAACATACACATGTATTGGTATCCGTTCGAAGCATGGACCATTAGTTGCTGTGATGTGTCCTTTATTAACATTCTTTTCGGGAATGATCATATTGAATGCAGTAGCGTTGCAAGTAAGTCATATCAATACAGTACACAATTACAGAGGTGATATGAGCGAAAATATTATTCAGAATCATATATGATATTATTATTATTGTTGTTGTCGTCATTACTGTTATCACAATTAATATTGTTATTATTTTTGTTATTATAATTGTTATGATTATCATTATCATTATTGTTATTGTTATTATTATTTATTATTATCATCATCATCATCATTATTATTATTATTATTATTATTATTATTATTATTATTATTATTATTATTATTATTATTATTATTATTATTATTATTATCATAATTATCATTATCATTATTATTATTATTATCATCCTCATACTCATCATCTATAGCATTATTATTATTATTATTATATTATATTATTATTATTATTATTATTATTATCATTATTATTATTGTTATTATTATTTCTATCATTATTATTATTATCATCATTATCATCATTATTATCCTTATACTCAATATTATATTTACAAGCATTAGTATTGTTATTATTACTATTATCATTATTATTTTCTTATTATTATTGTAAAGATAATAATGATGATAATAATGATGATAAGGAGAGTAACAATAATGATAATAATAATGAGTAATGATGATGTTGATACTTATGATGATAAAAAAGGATAAAGATAATGATAATGGTAATAATAAAAATTATAATAATAGGAGATAGAATGATAATAATAGTAACAAACCTTATAGGAAAAATAATTATAATGATAACCACAATGATG